TAATCTAAATGTGAGGGGGTCCAAATGATTAAATGACAAGTATGAGAGGATCTAGATATAATTTATTCATTTAGTTTTATACGACAAACTGACGACGGTTAGTTTTAAGTGTGCATTGATAGAAATTTTTATTATTGAGGGTACAAATTGAGATTTTTGATATTTGAGGATGTAAATTATGATTCGAACAATCTTTCGAGATGCAATTTACGATTAATCCTGATGTCTTAAGCCTTTGTTAAATACCAACTAAGAAATCTACATGCTCAAAAATAACTCAAATCTACCCACAAAAATTAACCCACTACCTCATATCTCTCTCTCTCTCTCTCTCTCTCTCTCTCCGGTCAGAATACTGATATCAACCCCCCCCCCCCAAAAAAAAAAAAAAAAAAAAAAGCCAACAATTCTCTTTTTCTCTATCCCTCCCTCCTACAATACACAAATAAAAAGATATGATACATTTTTATACAACTAAACAAAAACCCTAAGGTTAATTGTTTGTGTCTTTCTGCATAATCCACATATACACGATTTGGTTTCTTACTCACTCCTCAAAGACAAACAAATAGCTAAAATTTGTATACAATTTGATAAAATTATTAAATCAAATTTACGATACACAATACATACTTACGATACATCTTCATACAGTACCACAAATATACATATTTAGAATATTATTGTTTTTGTCACCATATCCTATTATACACAAAATATTTTGTGATACATTTTGATGCGAGGAAAAACAATACCCATGATATCATTTTTTCATAAATTGTTATTTTGTGAGAAGTTTGTCTTCTTAACGTTAAGGGTTCAAACCTCCTTCCTCCTCTCCATCCCCCTCTCCCTCTACCCGCCCAAAAAAAAAGAAAAACTCTAAACGGTGCAACGATGTCGTTTCACAAGTTTTTTATTTACTCTAATCATTGAAATGACGTTGTTTCTTAATATATATATGTTTTGATTTAATCTCAAACAAATGAAGCTCTAAGTCATATTCTTCTCCCGCGACCAGAGGCGGAGCCTCGCTTTGGGCAAAGGGACCATGCCCACCCAACCCCCCAAAAAAAAAAAACAAATTTTTAAAAATTATCCTTTATAACTTTTAAGTTAGCACTCCTCAGTTTTCAAAATTATATTTAAACCTACAAATACATACTTTATTTCACTTTATATTTTGACAATTATACTATATATCCTTAAATTATCATCTTAATTTTGTCAAACACATCGACTATTAACTTAAACAAGTTATACTATCTACCACGAGAAGATTTTTTGCTGGAATTTAAGAATTAATGCAAAATAAAAAAATATTAAATATTGCAAAAATTCAAGAATTTAAATGGTCAATAGTGTAATATTTTCAAATCAATAATTAGAGGGCGAAGAAAAATGAAGGTCATGTCTTCGTAGAAGCATGATAAAATTAACGATTATGAGCGTCAAATAAAAAAAAAAAAAAAGCTTCGTAATTTTATTTTGGGTAAATTTAAAATGATCTTCAAGATTTTGATCCAAAAATCAAGCATCAAATCAAAACCTTCCTTTGTTATCACTACAATATTGCTTAGTCAGAATCACTTTACATCGTGTAGTCCTATTCCTTGATCAGCCTAGCATTATCCTAAATCACCACATGAGAATATTTTGACGCAATAAATTTTAAGATCGATAGCAACCCGATGCGACACAACCTATGAACCGTAGTTGTCAGTATCTTACGACAAATATAGATAGAGTACGTTAGCAATACGTATCTAAAGTCAATAGGCGTATTCATTCTATCTTACGGGTAAGAAATATGATATTTCATCTTCCTACTCGATATTTTGAGGAATAAATTTTTCTTGACCTACCTTACCCCATCAAGTGTACTATTCCGACCTGAATTCTGTACAAAACAATCGGGTAGGAAGTCAGAAAATCAGGTAAATACATATTTTTTAATTATTAAATTTTGGATCATTTTAACAATTTAATTAAGTAATTTGCACCAATTAAATAACATAATAAACCAATAACACTAAAAAAATTACAATAAATTCGATAATATATAAACAATTACAATAAAATACAACAAGAAAGTCATAAACATCAATACATCATATATAAGAAAGTCATAAACACCAATATATCATATATAAGAAAGTCACAAATATCAATACGTCATATATAAGAAAGCCACAAACATCAATACATCATATGCTTATTATATATAATAAAACTAGAGGTGGCAAATGGGTGAGTTGAGTTAAATTGGATTGCACTAAATAAATTCAATCCATTTTTCATTGACGTAGTAAATGAGTTGTAATGGATTGAGTTTATAACGGGTTGAGTTTAACCGATTAGCTCATAAAATAAATAAAATTCCTTAACTTGAAGTGGTTATCAAACATGTTTTTATTTTTTTTCTCCTAATTTGGTAAACACAAATGATTACCAAACATATTTTCTATTTTAGTGTTTATCACAAAACAGAGACAAAAATTGTGTCTGTATTGTATTTTTTTAAAGACGCGAAAATAAAAACGTTATCAAACGACTCATTATTGTTTTATTATTTACTAAAATACAAATATTAAATTACACTTCAAAAGAAATGTCATATATACTTCATGAACATCTTAGAAAAATAATTACCCCCAAAAATGTATAATGAACATACTAAAATTTGTTTTGCCACATTCAAATGATAAAATGAATATTGTTAAAAATTAGTATTTGATACCTTATGTCCTAGAGCAATTCAAAAAACCTAGTCGAGTCATGATCCACGTGATAGAAGATCTCGTTTCAATTATTCGATGCATGAGAAGAATCATGTAGTTTTTTCTACATACGAGATTTAATGCTAAATATTCAAAATGAGTTTCAATGTTAAACAAAAAATGAACCTGTTACAATATAAATTAAACATATAGAAGGTACATGATTTAGAGTACATAAAATCTCAAGATATCATTTTCATAGTGACTTTCCACAATTGATCAAACTTGTTCATAAATAAAAAACACTTAAAAAATAGAATGTTAGTGCAAGTCTAACTCAAAGAAAAACATAAATTATATGAAAAGGACAATAACCTATAACCAAATAAAAAATGTAAGTAAAGAATGAGAGAGGACTAAACTAGTATTACTATTGCTTTATGATTGAAATTTTATGCGATTAAATATTTGACTATTAGTTGTCTACGTAGCCATAAAATGAAAAGAAGAAATAATTCAAATTTCATTTGATTAATTAATATATAAAATGAACTTTATAATGGCCATTTTTTGATGGTTATCGATGGCATAATAGTGGTATTAATGATAATCTATTATTTTTATAAAGTAAAGATGATTAATAGATTTATTGTAAACAAAAAGTTTATGAGAAGTAAATGAAAGAGAGACAGCGTCATTAACTCAGAAAATAAAAAAAATATATAATACATGGAACAATAATTATTGTGAAAACATAAGTATATGAAGAGTCATTTAATTAATATTAGGTAATTAAATAAATAAAGATATACATGTCTTTAATATTTTTTATAGAATTTTTCACTTAACTTAATATTTGGGGTCCTAGGCGGAAGTTGCAAAAATGGACCCTTCACAACTTAATATAAGATTTGAATAATATAACTATACTTTCATTTAAAATTCATTAATTTTGTACTTTTGCATGTAAAATTACTGCTTAATTTAATCTTAATTTCACATTTCTAGTTTTTGATAAATGATAACAAGTCATTTGAACGTATAACATGGCAAATTTAATCTATCTCTTGTGATAAAAAGAAAGTACTTTTATCATGTTTTACAAAATTCCCAACATAAAGATAGTATTTTGTTGAAATTTCACCGTCAATTAATTCTGATGTTTTTCTAATTAAATAAAAAAACCTAACAAATCTTCATGTAATTTATAAAGTATATTTTGAATTAAAGAAATACTTTGGTTTATTCTATTTACTTGTGTATATAATTAGTTCTAAGATTATTTGAGTTGTTGTGCAACAAAAAAAAAATGATGGGAATAATGAAAAGGAGGCTAAGAGAACACGTCGTTGATTTTTCTTTTTTTTTAAATGGTCAAGGGTATCCGAATCTATTTATGTGCATTTCGACTAATTTCATTCCAGGTTCGGTCAAAAATAAACCACCCACATCGGGACTAAGGGTTTAAAATGAAGATGGTGTTGAAAATGGTCATAGTTTAAAGTCTCTACTCTTACTCTATATCCTCTACAACAGAGGATCTCAAGTGACCAACGGAGACAAAGGCTAAATGAATTAGGAGTCATATTGTAGTTGTAACACGTCAACTAATCCTACTACACTATACTAATCGTACTCAAACACATTAATAAGTTTGGAATAAATGTGCATGTATGCTCTCTACCACAGCCATTGTTGATTATACAGTACAATTACTCACGTTTTCTTTCTATATAATATCCAAGAAAACACAAGAAAAAGATAAAAAACTAAAAAAGTAAGAAACAGAACTACTGAAAAAGAACTTCAGTCATTGTATTAGAGTAGCAATTTTGCAGCTAATTATAAAATTTCAATGGATGGAGGAAGTAGGATAGTAGAGAAAGTATTATATTAGTATCTTACTCTATTTCAAACACAGAGAAGGATATTATTGCATTGAAGTTGCAATTCTGTGTAGCCAGCCAATCACACACCACTTGATATCACATTGCAATGAAAAAACTTTCCAGCAGCCTTAAATTTTTAAGAGACTTTGTAATGCACACAACTATATATATCTTACTCCTAATCCAATACTTAGAGTTTGAGAATTGAGATAGACCCTTACTTGTATATATACACGTACACCACTGCACTGCAGTTGATCCTACTTTATCACTCTCCATTATACTTCACACTTTTCTCAGTCAAACAGTTTGGTTCTCACGTTTTCTTTTATTTTCTTGCTGTGAAAACAACCAGAAACGCCAGAAAATTAACCTGATGGAATCAACAGAGATGGCAGCATCTTTGGTGGGTTTGAGATTCCACCCCACTGACCAAGAATTGACTTATATACTTGGCTATATGATCAGCCACAATCCATCCTTATACGAACGTTTTGTGACCATAGATGATCTTTATGGAGACATGGAGCCATGGGAGATATTTGGGAATAGCGAAGAGAAGTGCCGTTACTTCTTCACGGAGCTGAAGAAGAAGACGGCCAAGGGGAAACGATTTGCTCGCACGGTTGGGAAGGGGAAGGGTTCGTGGAAAGGTCAAGACAAAGGCAAACCCATTCAAAACCGTGAAGGAAAAGTTATTGGATACAAGAGAAGTTTAAGGTACGAGAATCTAGGATCTACCCAACATGGTCGATGGCTCATGAAAGAATACAGTCTCTCTTCTCCTCAGGATTATGTACTATGCAGGATTAAAAGGCTGGATCACACACCAACTGTGGCACCTGTTTGCCAAAACCAGCAGAACGAGGATGAACATATCAACAGCAGCAGGCAAAAAAGGCCTCGGTTAGATGGCTGTGAGCATATAGAAAACCTGATAACTGGTTTGGTACCAATTTATGGGGAGGTAGCAGACACCCTTGATAGCAATCTTTGTTTTGATCCTGAAGACCTGATGTTTGAGATTGACAATGTGGATGGTTTCCCTGAGGACCTGATGCTTCACAACTTGGAATCTGCAACCATCCCTCTTGGAACATCGCCATTGCCTATCAGTTTGGAAGCTGAATCATCCATCCACAACCAGTACAGACATATTCTTCTAGGCAATGGGTGTTGCGGCATGGAGGATTGGAGAAGCAGTTTGCCTGAAGACCCCGTGATTGACTTGGGCAATGTATGTTGTGGCATGGAGGATTGGAGAAGCGGTTTGCCTGAAGACCCCGTGATTGACATTGCAGAATCTAGGACCATGAGTTCTGGACCGGAATCTACGATATACCACCACACACAGTTTCTTGGGGGCACTGCAGGTACAAACATGGAGGAACGGATACCCGGACTGCCTGAAAACCTGAGGAATATGGACAATGTGGCATATAGAACCATGCCTCTTGGAACACTTCCATCCGACAAAGAGACACAGATTTTTCAAAGCATTTTGTGTTCTAATATGGAGGAGTCATCGATATACGACAAAGGGATACATATTCTTCAAAGCGATCTGTGCTTTGACATGGAGGAATGGAGAAGGGGTTTGCCTGAAGACTTGATGAGTGATAATTTGGAATCCAGAAACATAGCTCTTGGAACATTGCCGTTGACACTCAATCTCGGAGTGGAGTCATGATGTATGATGAAGACACACACAATCTTCAGAGCAATATGTGTTCAGACTTAGAGGGGATGTTTACCTACTGTGCATGAAGACCTGAGACAATTAACAGCTACTTTAAATTCATGGACTAGTTTCCATTTTTATGTATTTTTAACTCAAGATTCTATTATGGTTAAAACTTGGGACATAGTTTCTATTATGGTTTGTAGAACTAGCAGCTTTAAATTGATGAACTAGGTAGTTTATGTGACAGTTGCATTACCTATTATGTAACCACGGTATTCCTCCGCCACAAGTGAGGGTGATTTAATAAATTTCGGAGATACCGTCCTCCTTCTCTAAAAAAATAAATAAATAAATTTATATGACTTTGAGTCATGGTGCCTACTTTTAAAGTTCTTTTAAGTCATGGTGCCTACTGTTGAAGTTCTTTGAGTCATGCATAATAATACTTTTGCAAGGGTGGGAGGGGCTTTCTCCTCTCTGCTGCATGGGTGGAAGTAAGTTCAGCTACAGAGTTAAGAGGTTTATATCTCCATTAGCGTTCTGCTGCCTTCAACTCTGAATCTTTTGGAGCAGGATTTTCTAATAATTTAGTCTCCATAGTCAGTTCCCACAACAACAACTCAATTACCCACACCTTAAACCACCCATGAGATTGAAAAATTATGTACTGATAGTTTCGTTGGGATTGAAGTTTATTGATCTGCATTGATTAACCATTTAGATTAGGTTAATTCTACAAGAGGTTTTGTAATTAAATGGATTTTCATTGTGAACTCTAATTTCAGACCATCTCTGTGACTTGATTTACACATCAGAGTGTTGGCCAGTGCAAAACAATTCATTTATATGTCCTGCATATATTGACCAAAAAAATATATGTATGTGCTGCATAAAGCATTCCTCATTGTTTCACAAGTGCTCTGCGGACCATTACTTATTTTTCTTCAGAACACATCCCATTTTGTTGTTGCTTGGTTGAGTTCAAAGGATTCGAGGTATCTTATAATCAGTTTATTTAGGAGTAGTGGTCGATCTAGAAAACCATTAGAAAGCTACACTAATCCATCCTTATACGAACGTTTTGTGACCATAGATGATCTTTATGGAGACATGGAGCCATGGGAGATATTTGGGAATAGCGAAGAGAAGTGCCGTTACTTCTTCACGGAGCTGAAGAAGAAGACGGCCAAGGGGAAACGATTTGCTCGCACGGTTGGGAAGGGGAAGGGTTCGTGGAAAGGTCAAAACAAAGGCAAACCCATTCAAAACCGTGAAGGAAAAGTTATCGGATACAAGAGAAGTTTAAGGTACGAGAATGTAGGATCGATCCAACATGGTCGATGGCTCATGAAAGAATACAGTCTCTCTTCTCCTCAGGATTATGTACTATGCCGGATTAAAAGACTGGATCACACACCAACTGTGGCAGCTGTTTGTCAAAACCAGCAGAATGAGGATGAACATATCAACAGCAGCAGGCAAAAAAGGTCTCGGTTAGATGGCAGTGAACATATAGAAAACCTGATAACTAGTTTGGTACCAATTTATGGGGAGGTAGCAGACACCCTTGATAGCAATCTTTGTTTTGATCCTGAAGACCTGATGATTGAGATTGACAATGTGGATAGTTTCCCCGAGGACCTGATGCTTCACAACTTGGAATCTGCAACCATCCCTCTTGGAACATTGCCATTGCCTATCAGTTCGGAAGCTGAATCATCCATCTACAACCAGACAGATTCTTCTAGGCAATGGGTGTTGAGGCATGGAGGATTGGAGAAGCAGTTTGCCTGAAGACCCCGTGATTAACATAGAGAATGTGCATTGTGGCATGGAGGATTGGAGAAGGAGTTTGCATGAAGACCCCGTGATTGACATAGGCAATGTGTGTAGTGGCATGGAGGATTGGAGAAGCGGTTTGCCCTGGGCGGCTCAAGCCAATTTGAAGCATAAAGTGAAAAAAAAATAATGTGTTAATATTGTCGAAGGAGAGTGTTTAATTTTAATTTTATTTTATTTTTATTTTTATTTTTATTTTTTTTTTAACTAGAGACAGAGAGAAAGTGGATAAGAGTAAATGAGTTGATTTTTGAGTATTTTTTTTTTATTTTTTTAATTCTAAGTTTTAATGTTATGGATTGGATTATAGACCCAAATTATTATAATAAAAATTTTGATTGAATTTTATTTTTTAGGACTTTTTAAAAGACTTAAAATTTAATAAATTTAATTTTTTTTGTGGGTTAACAATATACTTAAAATTATAGGAGCTTCTAAAAATTTAGGGCATAAAGCCTATGCTTTTTTTTTTCATACTGTTGGGCGGCCCTAGGTTTGCCCGATGACCCCGTGATTGACATTGCAAAATCTATGAGTTCTGGATTGAAATCTACAATATACAACCACACACAGGTTCTTGGGAGCACAGGAGGTATAACACAAGGCCGGCTCAACAGTAGAGCCCAAAAAACCTGAACTTTAGGCCCCACATATAAAAAAGACCCAAAAATTTAAGGGGTCAATAATAAAATATAGATCAAATATTATAATTTAGCTTTAAAAAAAAACTCTTAAAAGATTATGTCAAAAAAATAAAATTTAAATTTACATCCAAAAATATAGTCCACAATTATTAAAGGGCAAAAAAAGGTTAACACTTCGATAAAAACACAATTATAAAGGGCAAAAAAAGTTTCACTTCGATAAAAAATATAATAAGTATCTCTCTCCGCTGCCGCCACCACTCTATGCACATCATTGTTGCTGCCACCCTTTACCATCACCTCTGTCACCTGCTACCACAAATTCGATTAACGTAATAAATTTTTCGTGTGACCTAAATGATCTAAGGCAAGATTTAATCATTTTTAATTTTGTGATACAATTGTTATACATAATGTCAATAATATATTGTAATTTATTCATGTATTTGAAAAAGAATCTAATATTCCTATATTTCAATACCTCAATTCGAAAAATGTGTGTGAGAGAGGGGGAGGGTTTTAGTAGTTTGATCTATACTACTAATAAAAAAAAGTTAAATGAAAAATTTTTGACCGAATATTATACCCCTATCAAAAAGATAAAAGACATCTAGATCCTTATGTATTTAATTATTCAATATTAATTAAATATGCAAATAACCCTTTATATACTTCTATTTCCACATCAATATTTATATCTATATCTCTACCATTACTACTATAAATTATAAGATATAGTTCAAAACTTTTGATTTCCTTTTATTTATTATTTATCGTGATTGTCTTAGCGCTAACGTTTTTGCCCATTCACCTATTTAATTATTAATTGTATTGATGATTGAAACATCAATTTTTTTTGGGGGGGGTCAAATGTGACTATTCCCTAGGTTTTTGGACTTAGCCTTAACATTTTTTTTGTTAGAACTTTGACTTTTATGAGGCTTTCTTGTGTGACTTAAACTTTTACAGGCCTAGAATTTTAATCTACCATATTTTAGAAATGTAAAAAATCATGCTCTAAAATTAGGGCCTAAAGCAATGGCTTTGTAGTATGTAAATGGTACATGCAAATCCGCATCCCATTGGTTGATAGGTCTGGTTGTCCTTGTCAAGCCAATCGGGCTCACCCTTTATTTCAGTTTGTTGTTTGTTCATTTCACATACATGTACATATTCTATGTATAACCAATTATCATTTCCTTTTCCTTGACTCAGGATGAGATGAAAAGATGAGAAGTTCCTAAGTCAATTTAATGTTTCATAAATCATACTGATGCTTTTGAAGAAGATGCACGCGAACACATAAGATCTTTAATTAATGAGACATGGAATAAAATGAATAATGATTGAATTGCAGAATTCCTATTTTCTCATACTTTTATTGGAATGGCAATGAACATAGTAAGGGTGTCCCAGTGCATGTACCAGCATAGAGATGGGCATGCCTCCCAAAGTAGCGAGAAAAGATAGCATATTGCGTAGTGCGTAGTGCGTAGTGCGTAGTGCGTAGTGCGTAGTGCGTAGGACAAATAAATCCTGTTGTTTTGGTGATTAGGGTTAAATTGTGGATTGTACAGCCGCTCTCTGTATTCAACTCTCTCAATAGTGAAATTCCTGCAGCTTCGTGGACGTAGGCAAATTGCCGAACCACGTAAAATCTGTGTCTCGTTCTTTCTTGTTTTTTATTACTTTATATTATTGATTTGTTCTTCGATTGTGTGTGTTTATTAGTGGATTTAAATCGTATTAAATCCCAACATTAAGTTGTCATATAACTAGGGACCTACCGGGTGTTTTGGGCTTCGAATGGACAGCCTAAGCCGAAATCCACCATCATCAATATTCAAGTACTGTCTCGTTTGGTCGTTTTCAATCTCGACTGCACTCTCTGGCCTTTTTACTTGTAAACCAATTATGATATGCACAATTTGTTCCCCTCTCCTTATCCATGCTTTTTTTTCCTTTTCTTTTTGCATATTAGAGAAGAATATATTGCAAAATTTGTTAGTTTTAATATAGTTGAACAAAAAACTAGTCGTAAATCCACTGAGTTCATTTTTCTATAGTCACAGAAATTCTAGATTGAACCAATGCATCATGCACTTGGTGTACTGATAACGATACGTTGTTGGGAAGATTTTTATCCAAAAAAAATCGTAAAAAGCAAAATGGTTGTGGCAAACCAAATCTAATTAACATGTAATGGGTGTTTGAAATTCAATCATTTTGCAGATTTGGTGGCAAACCATACGAACGCCCCCCAAATTCAAAATTTTCACCCACCACAACTTTACAGCTAATGGACTCCATTTTCATTCGAGTTTTCTCTCTGTCTTTCGTGTTCACGGTATGGTTTGATTTGATGATGTTTGTTGTTGTGGATTGGTGCGGTTGGAGAGAATTGGAGGTTGGTGGTTCAGTCATGGGGTGGGGTTCTGATTTCGGCTCGGCGGAGAGGGAACAGAGTGGAGCTCAAATCGGAGAGTGGTGGTGGTGGTTTCTAAATATTCAATGCAATAGTGATACTAAATTACAGATATGTTATTTAAAGATATGTTATTTGAGGACAAACCGAGTATACGAAATTAATCCATACAGGTGGTCATGATTTTCAAGGGTGGGTCTTAACACGGGGGTACGTGTACATGATTTCCAGTGTCATTGAATGAATTATCATCTTAGGAGACTCCTATATATAAGGGTACCAAATCACTTATATGTAGTGCTTTTGCAAGTACACAGACTGAGAGCCCCATGACTATCATCAGCCTGCTTGCAGTTCCACCCACTGAACCTAACTTTCTCAGGACATTCACTAGACAGCCTCCAACAACACATGCCCCGTTGCAGTCACCCACAAGTGGCTGTGCTCCCTATCTTGGTCTTGTACAATGCTCAGCTGTTGTCACCAAGCCTGCTTGTATTCAAGCTCCAGTTAGGCGATCAGCAAACTACCAACCTCCCATTTGGGCAGACGATTATGTTCAGTCACTGAAGTGATTTTGAGGTGACTATCATAAAATCCGGATTTAACACGTGGGTTGTTAGTGATTCCGTGCATCAGATGTGAATGTTGTGACCATGAGTTCAAAAGACACATGGTTGACACAATTTTCCCTTAAAAAGTTGATATCTAAATTAAAGCTGGAATAAGAAGTATTCTTGCTAACAAATGTTATATTATGCAGAGGACTAAATAAACAAAAAGGGTGAATGGGTTGAGGAGGCAGTTGAAAATGATGATTGAGAAAGCAACGGAACCACTGGATCAGCTAGAGTTGATCGATAACTTGCAAAGGCTAGGGGTTTCTTATCACTTTGAGGATGAAATCAAGAGGATTTTGGAGAACATTTACAGCAATAATAAGTGGCAGAAAGAAGATTTATATGCCGCTGCTCTTCGATTTAGACTCCTGAGACAGCATGGTTACGACGTTCCTCAAGGTAGTGGTGTTTTTTTCTACGTCTCTTGTTTTTTTTCCTTCATCGATAGTTTGAGTTTGACTACAACAATGCTACGATGTTATCACTAATACATGGTGTCACGCTCCTACAACAAACCACAAAATATTCATGGTGTAGCTCACTTAAACTATAGTCAACATAATACAATAATTACATGTGCATAAATGCTATACACTGCATATGTCAGTTTTCTGTATTTAATTGTGATTCAGAGATGGAATGAGGTAGTAGTATTTATTTGGAGTTGGATTTGGGCTATGCTCATGATCAAATTTGTATTTTGCCACCGAAAGTTGACAAACAAGCACTCTTGATTGCAGATATATTTAACTCTTTCACAAACAATGGGGGCAATTTAAAGCCAAACCTTTAGGAAGATACAAAAGGAATGCTATCCTTGTATGAAGCTTCACACCTTGCAGTGGTAGGTGAAAGTATCTTGGAGAGGGCAAGAGAATTCACCACCAAACTTTTGAAGGAGAAGCTTGATGAGCAGAAAATGGATCAAAATGTTGATGTTTTAGTGCACCATGCCTTGAAGCTTCCTCTACATTGGAGGATGCTAAGGTTGGAAGCAAGGTGGTTCATAGACTTGTACGAGAAAAGACCAGACATGAATCTTGTATTACTGGAATTTGTGAAATTGGACTTCAACATAGTGCAAGCAACACATCAGAGTGATCTAAGATTTGTCTCAAAGTAAGAGCGTGTATGCCATTATTTCATTTTTTGGATTGATCATCACCTCAATATGAAAACCTGAAAACTCGTACGGATTGGATATTTGATCGAAGAAGGACAAGCCATAAACCCACATATCCTGATTTCGAGTAAAACTACCATATGAAAACTCGGGATTATTTCTTTGTTTCGAGTGTGATAACAAAAGAGGCCTTGGAATGCTTGGACAAGTATCATGATATAATCCACTGGTCTTCAATGATTTTAAGACTAGTAGATGATTTGAGGACATCATCTGTATGCATCCTCTGCTCTTAACTATGTTTGTCAATAGCTCAGATTTCAATTGATTTGAAAACTCTGATTAGAATTCAATATGGATATTCAAAATCTAGTCAACTAAACGAGTGTTGTTCATGTCACCAAGGCTCACCCTTAACTTCACTTGTTTCACACACACACACACACATATATATTAATGTATTGTCATTTCTTTATCATTGTCTAGGATGAGATGAAAAGAGGGGATGTTCCTAAATCAATTCAATGTTACATGAATCAGATTGGAGCTTCTGAAGAAGAAGCTTGCAAACACATAAGATTCTTGATCAGATAGACATGGAAGAAAATGAATGTAGCTCCAGTTGCAGACTCACCTCTCTCAAACTTTCATTGGAATGATATAGAACCTCGGCAGGATGGCCCAGTGCATGTACCAACATGGAGATGGGCATGCTTCTCAAAGTAGCGTGACCAAGGATCGCATATTAGCATTGCTTATTGAGCCCATTCCCCTTTGTATAAACAAATAAAATGTTGACGTCTGATAATTATTTGGTTTAAACTTGCATATAGAGTTCTCACCCAAATTGTAGAATTTTTAATTAATTACTGAATATTTATTTCATACATCGATGGTGATGTGATATTATCGTGGCATTGAATATATAGACCCCAAATCCTATGCCGCCATAATGTAAGAAGTGAAAATTTTGTGTTTCGTTCCAAGGGCATGAGCTTTGACCATATGATGTGTTGCAAGTTGTGGGCAAGGGAAACGAGGGGTAAGGTTTGCGCTGCCACTGTCGGAGAGAGCCCACGACACCCTTGACTGAGATCTAATAATTTAACCTAATATAATAGTCGAATAATGTGTCGACGAATATAATGCGAATAAAAAAATTTAACAGTCGAAATTACGATAATATTAATAATATATTAAATCTGATTATTAGATTCCATTGGCATTAAACAATGTTATACAGCAGACACAATGTTATTAATATGTTAAAATTATACTATCTATTGAACGATCAAATTAAACTATCAATTTATTTCAATTAAAGCTAGAATATATTGTGTGTATTATAGTTTGACCTCTTGTTTAATTTTTTAATTTTATTCTAATAGATAGTATAATTGTATACTATTTATGTTTTTTTAAGAAAAAATATTTTTTTATTTTTGATTTTATTTCAATAAATGACATAATATAACATGAATTTTAGTTGTAAATTCATGTTCTATTTTGACTGATTTAGACCCATTATTTGATTTTTTTTTTTTTTTTTTTTTTAGTTTTATTCTAATAGATAATATAATTGTATACTAATTATGATTTTTTTTTTAAAAAAAATAGGTTTTTATTTTATTTCAATAAATGATGTAATAGAATATGAATTTTAGTTTTAAAATTCAAAATATTTGATACTCTTTCATTGATTTGAGTACTTTTGGTCTAAGTGTAATATTTTAAATTTGAAAAATCTAAGTATTATATGCTTACAAACTCTAGGGGTCTAGATGTAATTTACTAACAGATATATTACTGGACATTTGACGATAGAGGTTTAAGTGGTACACACATACAAACCTCAAGGGATCTATCTATAATATTTTAAATACTAAAGGGTCTGAGTGATTAAGTGATAAATATTAAGAAATTTGAATGTAATTTTTCTTATAAATATTTTTGATATTCTTTCGTGAGAGGCTTTGGTACCGACAATCTAAATGTCGGTACCGTAACATAATAAATGTGTGGTTGTCTAAAGGTGATATCTTTGCATGTTAAAGTTGCACCTTTTCTATGAAGGTTGTAATTTTGCACATGATGGTGATAATTTTGTCTCTAAAGGTAGTAATATTACCTTAAAAGAGTTAAAGCTTAACTTAATCTTAAATAGTTATAGCCTCACATCCATAGGTAATAATTTTATCATAAATGGTTACAATCTTGCTTCAAAAGGTTGTAACCTAATCTCTAAAGTTGATAATTTTATCTCTAAAAACTATAATTCAACTTCAAATGATTATATTCTCATCTTTAAAAGTGGTAACTTACCTTTACGGGATATAAATTATTATTTTTATTTTTCATCCATCTTATTAAATATGAAGGAATAAAAATGTATTATTCTTTTTTTTTTTCTTGGAGGATAGAAAATGTATTTATCTTATTTTCCATTATTTCTATCAAACGAAGCATAGAAATAAGATTATCACTTCTAAAGATGAAGTGAGATTGTAAGTTTTTGAAATGAGCTTACAATCTTTTATGCTAACGTTATTTATTTTAGAGACAACATTATTATAGATAAAATTATAACCTTTTTAGAGGAAGATGTGTAACCTTTAGTGACAAAAAAATCACTTTAGTAGGTAATATTTAATGACAACAAATTGACCACCTCACATTTCTTATGGTACATTACCGACTCATGTTTCGACCTAACTTATGTTGTACGTGAATCACAATGACAAAATTCTGTCGATTGAACTGATCGAAGTTTTGACAACTCAAAAATTGTACAAATGTTTGTCACGTGACGGAAATGTACATAACCTGAGGGCATGTTTGGTTGGAGGATAGGACTGGTACAAAGAGGTGGGATTAAGAAAATAGTACGTGAAGTCCACCTTATATCTTATTTACTTGGTATTTTATCATTAGTACTATTTTTTGGGTCATAATAACAACTTGGTATGAACAGTGACATAAATTAGGGTATAAAATATGTCAGGTTAAACGGTTACGTGTCGAGTTAAACAGGTGACGAGTAAAAAATATATAAACTCATACACAACACATTTAATAAACGGGTAAAAAATCTCAACACTAGCACGGCTCATTTAATAAACGGGTAATTAAATACTACTCGTTTAACCCGTTTAATTTTAAAAAAATTATATCAACAAATTTTAATACTCTTTTTTTTTATTGCTAATTGCATTTACATCAAAAAAGAGAAATTTTTAGTCAAATCTCATAAAAATAAGATAGTTTACATCCTGAAAAGATTTTTGCATTCCTAGTTTATATTCAGAAATATTGAAATTCTCATATTACACTATCAATCAAATAAACTTGTAGCTCCACTAAAAAAAGAGAGAATAAAATTTTAATCAAAAACATTTACTTTAATTATTAATTCAATTTAAAATGGGATTCCATTTTAATGGGTATGGGTTGGTGTAGATATAATTATCGGACCAATCTCAATATTTATCCGAATCCCCCTCCCCCAAATATATATATATATATATATATATATATATATATATATATATATATATATATATCCGAAAGAGGAGTTTAAAGCTATCAATTTTGAATTCATTACTATTATTTGGGATCCATTTTTTGGGGAAAAAAAATCATAAATGAGGGGTTTAAACAATAATTTATCCTAAATTTGGGCATCCATGATAATCATAAGTAGAGATCACGTGAATTTCTCATATTTAACTTCTGTCATTTTTATGGTCTAAAATTAATTGTTAGAGTTAATTATAAAATATTCAAATTTATATATATAAATACATATTTTATCATTATATCATTATTTGTCAAACGATATAATTTACTAAAAGATCTAAGTATTATATGTCTACAAACTCCATGGGTCTAAATGTAATTTAGTAACGGATATATTACGGGATATTTGACGGTAGAGGTTTAAGTAGTACACACATACAAACTTCAAGAGATCTGTCTATAATATTTTAAATACTAAAGGGTATGAGTGATTAAGTGACAAATATTAAGAGATCTGAATTTAATTTTCTCTATAAATATTTTTGATATTCTTTCATGCAAGGGAGAGGCTTTGGTACCGACAATGTAAATGTCGGTACCGTAACATAATAAATTTGTGGTTGTCTAAAGGTGATATCTTTGCATCTTAAAGTTGCACTTTTTTCTATGGAGGTTGTAATTTTGCACATGATGGTGATAATTTTGTCTCTAAATATAGTAATATTACCTTAAAACGTTAAGCTCACCTCACCTTTTAACTTAATCTTAAATAGTTATAGCCTCACATCTATAGATAATAATTTTATCATAAATGGTTACACCCTTGCTTCAAAAGTTTGTAACCTAATTTCTAAAGTTGATAATTTTATCTCTAAAAACTATAATTCAACTTCAAATGATTATATTCTCATCTTTAAAAGTGGTAACTTACCTTTACGGGATATAAATTATCATTTTTATTTTTCATCCATTTTATTAAATATAAAAGAATAAAAGTGTATTATTCCTATTTTTTTTTCTTAGAGGATAGAAAATATATTACTCTTATTTTCCATTATTCCTATCAAACGAAGCATAGAAATAAGATTACCACTTCTAAAGATGAAGTGAGATTGTAAGTTTTTGAAATGAGCTTACAATCTTTTATGCTAACGTTATCTATTTTAGAGACAACATTATTACTGTTACAGATAAAATTATAACCTTTTTAGAGGAAGATGTGTAACCTTTAGTGACAAAAAAATCACTTTAGTAGGTATTATTTAATGACAACAAATTGACCACCTCACATTTCTTTTGGTACATTACCGACTCATGTTTCCACCCAACTTATGCTGTACGTGAATCACAATGACAAAATTCTGTGGATAGAACTGACCGAAGTTTTGACAACTCAAAAATTGGACAAATGTTTGCCACGTGACGGAAATGTACATAACCTGAGGGCATGTTTGGCTGGAGGATAAGAGTGGTACAAAGAGGTG